AAAATAACTGCTGTTCTTTATTTCTCTCTGTCACATATATATTTTAATATATATATATATATATATATATATATATATATATATATATATTTTAATATTATATATATTGTAAAGTTCCCCCCCCCCCCCCCCCTCCGTTTTGTATTCCAATACAACATTTTCACTTTACATCTTCATAAATTCACTTTGGAAGGGTTAGCGCTTACGTAAAGTGAAAATGTTGTATTGGAATGCAAAACGGGGGGGAGACGTTACACTACCCCCAACCTTTTAAATTTGATTCTCCTGAATCAAAATAAGACCCCGTTTTTAGTTTAACAAGAATTTATTAATCGTTTTCTTTTCTCTTCCTTTTATTCGTAAAACTTCTCATCTTTTTCTCTATTGCTTTTCTTTTTTTCTTTATTTAAAATAAAAGTTTCTAACTATGTCTCTCCTCCCATCAGGGTAGCGCGTCTCTCGCTCGTGCAATCGCCTAACCCTCTGGAACAAAGCCACCATATCCATCTCTACTTCTCCCTCTTTTACTTCTCTCCTGGGGACTTTGCTGCTTGGCTGGTCTTCTTCTCCATCCAGGGAACTTGTCAGGGGGTGTTCCTACCTTTAGCTTTCTCTCAGATGTCCTGGGGCTGGATGAAGGGGACTGAATGAGGGATGCCTCCTCGCCAGGTGTAACATCCACTAGCAGTGGGGGTTCTTCTGGGATAATATGACCTGCTGGGTTCGTCTCTTCCTTCTTCTGAGCATGTTTTCTTTTGTAGTGTTCCACCAACACTCTGTTGTCAACAAATTTCAACCCGCAATAGCAGTTAAGGCAGCTCTTCTCATGGCGCTTGCGGTTGCTTCGGTCTGTAAATGATTTCTTGCAGAACAGACAGCCTCTCATGTCTAGGAAAGGAGAGGAGTAAGTTACTGTGAGAGGTACTGGAAGGCTGACCTAACAACTTTGCTGGTATGTAAGTGAGGGGGGAGTATTAGAGACAAGCAACAGAAAATGGAAAATCCAGAATACATGACGTCGCACAACTCAGGTAAGTCTCTAAGTCGAGACTCTCCAAGTGTCGATTGAAACCATGGACTCTGGGGTTAGTAACAGAACTTTAAATTATCGTAGTGCACGACTTTGGGTTTATGCTTGTGGCTAAGCTTTATCCGGTATACTAGGTCTGAAATTCGATCTACCACCTCGTATGGTCCAGTCCATTTTGGCTGTAGTTTTGGACTCACACCCTTTTTCTTGTTGAAATCAAAGTACCATACTTTTTCTCCCACTTTATACACTTGCCAATGCACTCGGGAATCATAGTTACGCTTCTGTACAACAGCACTCTTCTTGTGCTTCTCTCTCGCTCGTTTCCAGACACTACTCAAATTTTCCCGCAACTGCAAGGCGTAGTCGGTTTGTAAAGCAGGTCAACCCGGAGGTTCCTCAATCATGGCGTAATCATGGCGTAAATCAATCTCGTGCCCTAACATCATTAAATTTGGGGAGTAGCCGGTGCTGTCGTGTTGTGAGCTCCAGTAGGCCATAAGGAATAAGGGGATCTTCTCATCCCAATCCTTCTGATGTCAACTGTGTTCTAGAAGTTTTGCAATGCCTGTAACCAAGGTTCTGTTAAAGCGTTCTACCAACCCATCGGATTTTGGATTAAACAGTGTTGTTCTGGTCTTGTAGATGCCTAGAATAGTGCAAACTTCTTTAGAACGTTTGCTTCGAAGTTTCTTCCTTGATCTGAATGCAAACTGGCTGGTGTTCCAAATCTAGCAATCACTTCTTCCACTAAAGTTCTGGCAATCCTCATGGCCCCCCAGTTAGGTAATGGAAAGGCCTCAACCCATTTGGTGAAATAGTCACTTGCCACCAATATAACCCTGTTATCTCGGTCACTTTCAGGGAAGGGTCCCAGCACATCTAAAGAGATTAGGTGGAAATGTGGTATTTTCCGTCCTGACATCAAACGGAGGGGGGGGGGGTATTGTTACAATATCATCTCCCTACCTTTATTTAGGAAAATACTTGTTCCTGACATAATGTCCTTCTGAAATCTTTTGTTGGAGATGATTTGTCTCAATGTTGTCAAGGTTTGTGAACCAGGCTCCAACCATTTCTTTTTCCTCCCTGATATCAGGAGATAGGGTCCATGTTCCTGTAGCCATCCCCAGACATCAACTGGTATTCATCATCATCATCATTTATTAACGTGTCATGTGAATAGAACACCCAGCCATTTGGGCTTATAAAACACCTGTTATATACAATTTTGCCTGTCTTAAATCAAAAATCTTAACAAAAAATTTTGCTAATTGTCTCAAATTTTTTCCATTAAGTCTTCTATAGAAATGCCATTTGTATCATTTTTTTTTTAATCTCCAACTTTTCATAAAATTTATATCTTTCCTTTGTGTAAGCAGTGCACCAAAGTAAGAAATGACTCTCATCTTCTAATTCTTTTTTGCATACTTGGCATATTCTTTCATTTGCAGGTGTATTTGTATACCGTCCAGTTTCTACATGCAAAGGCAAAATGCCCATTCGAAATTGAGTAAAAATTTATTTTTCTTTTCTATTTAAATCTATGTGTAAATATTTTTTCAATTCTTTTTTAAATGTCATATATGTTCAAAGTTTAGGAAATTTCAAGATGTCTTTTTTTCATTTAATTTGGAATTTTTCATAAAACAGTTTCTTATTTGTATTCTATATCTACAATTTGTTTGTTCAAAAAATAGGTTTCTGTATTACAGAATTTGAGTATCTCTCTTACCTCAGAGCACCAGTTTTACCCCCCAACTTTTAATCTTCTAAAAAAAATCTGTTTGACAAGTAATTCATTTTGGGCGAGTATTAAAAATTGTTCCAAAGTCAAATTATATTCAACCAACTATTAAATTTTAATGGTATCCAAGCTGAGTCACCATACATACTAATTTTTGGTGTAAATTTGTGTTCATTCTGAACGTGGTGCATGCCCCCCACCCCCACCCCCCCACTTTTGACTGAGTAAAAATTTTTAAAAAGTCATAATTTATTT